AAAAATGCGTGGAAATGCCCCCAATCCCAAGGGTATAGCATAATTGCAGTTTGCGTGAAATTAAAACTTGCATATTGACCAAAATTATCATCCTGAACATCATATCCTTTTTTTTATTGATTTATAGCACAAGCAATTGCATTACAGATGCTTAGTAACAGTAATCTAATTTTATAATCACTCTCAAATTTTCTTGGCTTAAACTCCACTTTGGCCTGAAATTTAAAAGGGAAAGATATTAGCATATTACTGATTATCATTTTATATATATTTCAACTTTTACAATACCAAAATCCTTAAAGGCCAAGGATTGTTAGAAGAAAAAAAATAGAGGGTAAAAATAAAAAAAAAGGAAGAGAAAGAGAAAGGGAAAAGATAGAAGGAAGAAAAGAAAATAGTAAGGAAGAAGCGAAGAATGAAGTAAATAAATGAGCAAAGAAAGTGATACGTAAAAATAAGAAAGAAAAAAGAAAAGAAAATTGTGAAATGAAAAGGTGGTTTCCATTTTCATTATTTCTTAGATGCTATTAAAGATATAATCTTTAATATAAGAGTGATTTTCATAATTTAGCTATTAACCTCTATTAACGCATATTAATGTGTAATAGTGGTTACTAGTGAGAAAGCTAAGTATTGCAGTGAAAGTCTATTGACTGTATTATATTACTTCGTTGTTTAAAGTCTAATGGGTAATAACTCGCACTAGTTTGTATTAATGATTATTACGCTTACATTTATTTCACGGGTTTATGAAGATCACTCTATTCCATCAGCTAACCATTCCTACTAATTGATACTACATAGTCGTACCTGATCCCAGGTTGATGTTGACCTGTAAGTTCAGGAACTTGGTGTTCTTTCCAAAAACATTGGTAGCCACACAGGAGTACAGGCCTTGGTCGTGTTCTGATGCTTTTTGAATAATGTAACGAATACCAATCTGTTTGCCACCTTCTACTATAGACTCAATCTTAACCGGGCCGCCAAAGCCATCTACAGAAATAAAAATATTATTTATATTAGATTAGATTATATTAGATGGTCCATGTACGCTCAATCCATTACAGCGTTCAAACGAACCATGTCGAGTAGCTAAATAACTTACTTGGGTGCTTATAGAATCCTAAAAATCAAGGTATCAATTTCTTACCGGGTGTAGGTCTGGCTTTGACTATTTTTATTGATGGTGTTGGTGGACCAACTGCTTTGCAGACGAACTCTACTCGATCGTTCTCATCGACATTGATATTCATTGGGCCAAACTCGGTTACGGTGGGCGCAACTAGAAGCAACGACATGGCGACATGATTAGCAAATATTCAATCGTGCCACTCACCTGGGGTCATAAGGTTATGACCCCTTGTTGAGTATGTTTTTAGCCAAAAGTAACGTCTGACCAAATTATTAAATATTTAAATTATAAATTATCAACAATTTTAGAATTAAAAATCATTATCAAGTCTGTTATCTTAAAGTGCTACTCTGACGAAATTCCACATTTTAATTGAAGTCATTTGTTTTGTCTGTTTAGTCACTGAAAACATTTATTTGTATTTACTTCAATATCTTAGTAGAGATAAGAATAATACGGATATTGAAATATTTCTAGATTTCCTATTGGAGAATGTAACTCTATTCATTCTTACTTCCACAGTCATCCTTTGAATTGGATCCCTTGAATTTGGTCATTAGTTTATCTGGACACTGCTTGCATTGGCTGGCTCCATAGATATCCGAGTAGTATCCCATCGAGCATTGCGAGCATCCATTGGGGTTCAGAGGCAAGTCAAAACCATCCTCAGACGATGTGCCAGGTTTACATTGATCTATATAGGAGATTCAAAATATATATCTCAGACTTTGTCTAAGATTAGAAACCTATGGCTTGTAGTACAACATCAATATAAGGCCTTTAAAATAGGTTTCTTTTTTCCAAGAAAATTTGGCTCTCAAATTTTACCCATTTACTCAACCTAACAGACATCTCTTGGGGAAAAGAATCTTGGATTTGAGGTATGAAGTGGCAGTTTTTTTAGTTCTAGGAATAATTTAAAGATGTTGCGTCGACTTCTTAACGTGAGTCGTTGCTCTAGCTTTTTATGCCTGAAGACAAAATGTGAAGAAATCTTACCGATGCAATTTTTGGATCCCGCTTTCACCGTGGACTTTCCTGCTGGGCATTTTGTACACTGAGCACTAGATTCTGCAAGACTTGTGTATCCTACAGGGCACTTGATACAGTCTTTAGCGCTAGAATCATACTTGTATCCGCGTGGACAACTTACTGAAGAAATAGAAACATCAAAATAAATTTGGAGGGAATTCTACACATACACACACCACTACTCAGGGAGAAAGAAAGCTGCACCCGGGAAGAAGGGTTGTAACAGGGACTGAGAAGAATTGTCACACCTCAGGGAGAAAGATTGTCACTCGTCAGGAAGAAGGATTGTCACACCACAGTGAGAAGGATTGTCACACCTCAGGGAGAAGGATATCACACGTCAGGGAGAAGGATGCCACACCTCAGGGAGAAGGATGCCACACCTTAGGGAGAAGGATATCACACGT